TCAGAGGGCAGGCTGGACCTCCTTGGCACTGAGGGCAGGCTACTCAAAAAGAACAAAAATGCAGATCTCCTGGGATCCAGCCCTCTAGCTGACATGAGCAGGCACAGAAAGCATAGACTACTACTACACTGATGACGCCTATCTAGAAAATTTAACAATCTGAAAAGTACTTTAACAAAAATAAAATGACAATTTGGAGGTAGATTTATTTAAAGGAAAGAAATGTTTTAGCACCTAAAAAAAAAAAAAAAAAAAATATTTCTTTTGGGCTGAAATTAAAAATACCACATCCTATCACTTGGGAAGCAGAGGCAAGTGCATGTAGGTGAGTTCAAGTCCAGTCTGGTCTACAATGCAAGTTCCAGGACACCCAGGGCTGTTATACAAAGAAACCCTGTCTCAAAAAGAAATTACAAACAACAAACAAACCATCGAAAAACACTACTTCTAAAAACCCAAGTAGTAACCACAACAAATGAACTAAACAGGATCCCTAAGACCAAACAGAGAGAAGCTAGCACTCGAGGAAACCCAATCAAAAGGGGCGCTTGCAGGGAAGACATAAGGAAGCAGCTCTGAGGAACTCACATATAGACAAAAGTAAGGTCTTCCAGAAAGAAAAGACAAGATGTCACAATAAAAGTCAATTTTCTTCTTTCCTATGCTAAAAGTTGCAGGAAGTCAGGTAGGATTAATGAAAACGTTACGCACTTTCTGTTGAAATGTTTGAGCTTCAAAGGTAAGGTGAGGGAACAAAAACAAAAAAAACAAAAAACAAAAAACAGAAACTTTTAGAAATTAAGAGCTGAAGCAATACTCAGTCAGTAAAGAGCTTGCAACCCAAGTATGAAGTCTAACTTATGACCCTAGCATGCACATAGTGGTACTAACATATTAGCCAGAGCTGGAACATGGAGTCAGGAGTCCTGGGACACTTGGCCAGTCAGCCTAGCCAAAACAGCAAGTTTCAAATCCAGTGAGAGATGTACTTGAGAATTTCTGGAAAGAAGCTGCCTCTGAAAAGACAGAGTGATCAGAACTATAGTGGTGGACAAACTAACGCTGCAGGTACAGGGCATGCTTATAACTCTGGCTCACTTATGCTCCCTTGCCTTTCCCTGCCAACTCTATTAAAACACTTATAAGTAAGTTCATAGTGATATATTTTATAGAATTAAATGAAAAAAAAAGGAACATATTTCTCAAGAACAGGGATGGAAACAGACAAAACAAATACAGTCTTCAAAGAGTGACAACTGTTAACATCTAACTAATCTGATGATTGAAGTGCATTATCTATAATGATAATTATGTCTAATTTGGGTCACTTTGCTTTGTTTCATTTTGAAACAAACCTTGTAACCCAGCCTGACCTTGAGCTCACATTTGCTTCAGCCCCTAAACACTAGGATAACAGATTATACAACCAGGCTCAGCCTTAATTTGTAATTTTTTTTTAAAAGATAAAAGTAAAATGCTAACAAATGCAGTTAATAGCTGCTGAGGATGGGATGACCATTCTGTAGAGCACACTAAGGTACTAAGTGGAATAAATAGGTTTTAAAAACTTGAAAAGGTATCTAACTTCAAACTAGAAGAAATAAATAATAGAAAATAAATCCTCATTCCAGATAAATATGGAAGAAGATAGGAAATGAAAACCAGAAAAAGGTGTTAACACACATCCTAAATCCAGGGACTACTAATGACTAAACTATCCAGGTGAAGACTGTTGGGACTGGAGAGATGGCTCAGTGGTTAAGAGTTCTGACTGTTCTTCCAGAGGTCCTGAATTCAATTCCCAGCAACCACAGGGTGACTCCCAACCAGCTGTAATGGGATCTGGTGCCCTCTTTTGGTGTGTCTGAAGAGAGCCACAATATATTCACACACATAAAATAAATAAATCTTAAAATAATAATAATACAGAGACTGTCAATAAGCATTTCAAAACCTAGCTACTTCAGTGACTGGAAAGCACTACTTGAGTGGCCCATTTGTCTATGGAGCCTGCAAACTCATCTGTAGGTGTTCTGGAAAATGCAGCAAGATCTTTATAAGAAGAATGGTTAGAAAAACAGAAATGCTTTTCTCTTTCTGCAAATTGATAAAAAATGAGATTCTTGTAGAGAGTTTTACCTCTGTTGGTTATCTCAGTTAGAGTTTCTGTAACTCAGAAGAGACACCATGCCCACAGCAACTGTTATAAAGGAAAGCAATTAATTGGGGCTGGCTTACAGGTTTAGAAGTTCAATCTGTTATCATCAAGGCAGGAACATGGCAGCACACAGGCAGACTGCTGGAAAAGAAGCTGAGAATTCTACATCCAGATCATCAGGCAGCAGGAAAAGAATGACACTGAGCCTGGCTAGAGCTTCTGAAACCTTAAAGCCCACCCCCAGTGACCCACTTCCACCAATAGGACCATATCTACTCCAAGAAGATAATATCTCCTAATAGTACCACTCCCTGGTGGCCAAGCATTCAAATCTATGAGCTGATGGGGCCCATTCCTACTCAAACTACCACATTCCACTTTCTGATCCCCATAGGCTTATAGCTATATCATAATGCATCTAGCCCAACTTCAAAAGTTCCCATAGTCTACAACAGCCTCAAGTCTGTTTAAAAGTCCAAAGTTCAAAGTCTCCTCTGAGAATGAGATCACACACTTCCAACATACAATGGCACAGGATGTACATTACCATTCCAAAAGGGAGAAAAGGGGAACACAGTGAGGAAATCCTGGATCAAAGCAAGACCAAAAACCAGCATCTCTGTGTCTGATGTCAAAGCACTCTTCAGATTTCTAACTCCTTCCAGCTTTGTTGACTTAACCCACTTTTTTCACTTAGGCTGATACCATACCCTGTTAGCAGATCTCCTTGGCAGTTATCATACGACTCTGGCATCTCCAACATTTTGGGGTCTCCAAGGCAACACAGGCTTCACTTTCAGAGTCTCTCTAGTCTCCATGTACAGATACCCTGGTCTCAGTCGCTTTTCTTAGTCATGAAGGGAGATTCCATAACCCTATCTTGTATCCTTGACTCTAAAGCCGGAACCATGTGGTGAAGCTACCAAGTTCTGCTGCTTGCTGGGACCCCTTCAATTCAAATACATTTTTACCACCTTTCTCGTTTTGATGGTTTCCTTTACTGTCTAAGCTTGACTGTCCTGAAACTCACTCTGTAAACCTGCCGGACTCGAATTCAGATATCCACCAGCCTACGACTTCTAAGTACACCTACACAACTGGCCCTAAGCATTTCTTTAATTCCTTTCACAAGCTGGAAGCTTAGCTATGTTGGGTCTTGCTCTGAGGCCACTAGTCCTTATCACCAGGCTTTGCTTTACCCTGTTTACACTTCTTGGTGCTTCCTTTCTCCTCAAACTGTACATCTTATGTTTTCCCTTGCTCAGCTTGCTCCTTTTCATTATAGATCTGCATAAGAGTGACCACTAATGACCATGTGACACATTCAACACTAGGCTGTCTTGAAATCTCCTCTGGCAATACAATTAAAACTCTTCAATTTAGCCTGAGGCAGACTTCAGACAAGGGAAAAAAGTAGCCACATTCTTAGACAAAATGTCACAAAAACAGTCTCTGGGCCACTTCTGAAGCCACTGGAGTCAGACCTCCACAGTTCTACTCACTCTCAGCACCATTGTCTTTCCATGCTCCTACTAGTGTGTCCCATTGTGCCCCACTTAAAGCAGTCAACTGCTTTCCAAATCCAAAGTCCCAAAGTCTACATACCACCAAAGGCATAGTTGGGCCACTTACAGCAATACCCCAGTCTCAGGTACCACACTGGGGAGTGTGTGTGTGTGTGTGTGTGTGTGTGTGTGTGTTTACACTGGGAAGCCATTTCCCATCCTTTAGTTTCCATCCTGAGGGTTAATCCATCTGGGGATCCAATGACCCTTTTACAGGAGTCACCTAAGACCATCAAAATAACATAGGCATTTGCATTATGAATTAAAATAGTAACAAAATTACTGTTATGGTATATCAACAAAAACATTTGTTTGGGGAATCACAACATATTAAATGTATTAAAGGGTCACAGCATTAGGAAGGTAGAGAATCACTGCCTTAGAGCATACTGAGTTTAATTTTCTTTTCTTTTCTTTTCTTTTCTTTGGTTTTTTTTGTTTGTTTGTTTGTTTGTTTTGTTTTGTTTTTTTGTTTTTTCGAGACAGGGTTTCTCTGTGTAGTCCTAGCTGTTCTGGAACTCACTCTGTAGACCAGAGTTTAATTTTCAACTTGTTAAAATAAATGTGCTTTCTAGATATAAACTATCTCTATTGCTGATTTGAAGGCAGGGAAAACTTTGCTCTTTAAATGAACAATTCCTTTAGCTGATGGTGCGTTCATTGTCAGACAGTGATGTCACTAAAAAGCTTTAAGTTATCAGAAATTAATCGCAAATGTCAGGTCAGTGCTCTCGGATGAATGGCTCCTATCTTGGAGTTGTTATTTCAGAACAGAATGTTACAATAATAAATTAACATGATCTAAGACAAAATCTAGTTACTTGCCATAAACACACACAAAGACATAGAAATTTTAGTTTAAAAGATTAATTTCAGGAAAATACAGGAAAGTGTAAGACAACAAATTATAAATGCAGGGTGCATAAATGTTATAGCAGAGAACACATAACTCTAAATGCATACAAACATGCATATACATGTACATACACACATACATATTTAAAGTCTGAAACTGCCGGCGGCGGTGGTGGCGCACGCCTTTAATCCCAGCACTTGGGAGGCAGAGACAGGCAGATCTCTGAGTTCGAGGCCAGCCTGGTCTACAGAGTGAGTTCCAGGACAGCCAGGGCTATACAGAGAAACCCTGTCTTGAAAAAGCAAAAAAAAAATAAAAAAATAAAAATAAATAAAATAAAAAATAAAAATTAAAGTCTGAAACTGGTGAAATTAAATTGAACATATAAAGATTTTAATTAAAAAAAAAAATACAAGAGTTCCCTCCTGGCAATGGTCAAAGAGACACCTTGTTAGTAATGTTGTCTTAAATCAGTCAAGGACAGAGCAGATGGCAGTCCTTTGTTCATGCTAGCTTGATGTCCAGCTTGGTGGCCAACGCTATTTTATGCCTGGGACACATAAAAAGCAAAGCAAAACAAATCCAGGCAGCATAGTACGGGAGGAAGAAGATAGAAAGCTGCATTCAGCCATACCACATGGTGTAAGAAGGGAAAGATACCCACAGACCTGCCCTCCACCCAACAACAAGGCCATAGACACACAGAGCCCTGAGCCCAGAATACCCCCATGGTGGAGTGTGGAAGAAGACAGACATGCCATCCACAGACCACTTCTCCAGCGCACAGCACAAGAGAACTTGTGACACTCACTTGCAAGAGGATATCATTCAGGGTCCCACCAGTCGTGAGACCAGCCTGCAGCAGGACCCACTACAATGTGTGAGTATGTCATGCTCAGACATTATGGAGAGAGATGGAACTGAAGACTATAGGGTGGAAAGGAGTGAGAGTGGCCAGCCCTGGTATCTGGGACCATGGTGAGGTCCCAGCCCCAGCAGCTGCTGAGGGCCATTTTCTGGGTCTGTGGCTACGAAACAGCAGGGGTCTGTGTCTGTATCTATCTATGGATCATATTACCACTGAAGAACATGGAGCAGCCACCAGGGACCATGTGGATGTCCAAAGGCTGGGTATGATGCTGTATGCCTGAAACCCTTGGGAAAGAGGTAGGAGAATCAAGAAGTCAAGGTCTCTTCTGATGTATAGGGAGTTCAAGCTCAGTCTCAAGTTCATGTGATCTGGACTTAAAAAAAATAGTAGAAGTCTATTTATGTGATTCAAAAAGAAAAATTGGTTGACATTAGATGAATATGTGCCCATTCTAACACCAGCCAATAAATGCACACACTAAGTTTGACTTTAAATCCGTGAAAACAGTAGATATTATTCACTGAGCCCTTCCTTTGTTTCATACTTAGGATATGATAAAAGTAACAGGTACAATACTGTTTTAACTCCCCAAGCCACCACGAATACTGAATAAAAACTGGTTTTCACTGAATCTTAGCCTTCCTTCAAGTGTAAGACTTTCAGGTCTCGGCTTGAATTTGAGATTAAAAGAATCCCACTGTCTCAGGACACACCCCAGGAGGGGCACATTCCTTAGTCAGAGGACACTTGCTGGATTAACACTCAGAGGAGGAAAGGAGAGGCTGATTAACATTCCTCAGCCCACAGGGGAGGGAACACAGGTAAGGAGGGCCCAGAGGACGTAGACACATCCCAGGAATCGGGAAGCTGGGCCCTTAACCTAATAAACCTGGGCAAACGGAGGACACGCCATAATCTGAGTCACCTAGAGACCGAACCGGAAAGGTCAGACTTTGTAGTTTGCCCTCGTGAAATAAGTACTGTACCCAGCTCTTGTTCAGGGCTTTCTTGCCTGCATGCCAGAGAGTCCTAGTGCACTAGTTTCATTAAACCTCATGTTGATTGCAGCGAGTGTTAGACTTCGGTGGGCAGCTTGGAACAGACAACACCAGACCAATCGGTTCTAAAGGGGAGGGGGTTTATTAAGAGGGTGGGAGGGGGGAGAGAGAGAAGAGTAGAGAGGGTAGAGGCCGGCCATGACCACGTGGAGAGAGGGGGAAGGGAAGAGAGGAAGGGTGAGGAGAAGCTAAAGGCAAGAGAGTAAGAGAGAAGGAGGCAAGCAGCCCCTTTTATAGTGGGCACGCCTACCTGGCTGTTGCCAGGTAACTGTGGGGAGGAGCATACCTGGGTGTTGCCAGATAACTGTGGAGGTGGAGTTTAGACAATACTAACAGCGAGTCCGTCGGTGAGTTTCTGTGGGTGCGCGTCCCCTGGTTTTGATCTTAGAATCCAACACAAGCATATTAACACATTTATCTTTAAAAGGCTCCTGGATACGGAGTACTATTAGAGTCTCCATCTTCCACAATTTTCCAGGCTTACATAAATATCCCGGGATCAAAGAGTGGCATAGCCAGAATTGGCACCCAGGCCACGAACAGCCGAACTGCCCAGCCCTACGAAGTCGAAAAACAATCTTCTGTCTTTAAGTGTACCCGTGGGATCAGGCTCAGCTCACACCTAGGGCGCGGAGAACGGGCTATAAATCTGGAGAAATATTTTGTCTCACCCCAAACACTTCTGTAATAGATTTACCCACTGACACTGTGATGTACACACTCCATCCGGAAGCTAAGATGCTGGCAAGTTTCAAGAGTTTGAGCAGCCCGCGTCCTGCTGCGACCGCCCCTGCCCCGCAGCATGCTGGGAATCGTAGTCCCAACCAGGCCCTGCGCTTGTTAGCCTTCATACAGCCAACCCTCAGCGCCAGTAGGGTCAACAGCCGGTTAGGAGACCAAGTCCCGCCTCTAAACCCATCTGCTCTCCAATGCCGCCCTCTGTCGGTCTTTCCTTGCCGCCCAGTTGGAGAGCCGGTTCCAGATACCCCGGAAGTGATCTCTTTTCTTCCGGATTAGGAGTCCGGACGTCCGCACGTGGTTGCCGGCTTTGGGGTACTGCTGTAGCAGTGACAACATTCTGCAGTTGCCCCTAAGTGAGAGGACCGAGGCGCAGCGAGAGCCATGGAGGGCCAGAGCGTGGAGGAGCTGCTGGCCCAGGCGGAGAAGGAGGAGGCGGAGAAGCTGCAGCGCATCACGGTGCACAAGGAGTTAGAGCTGGAGTTCGACCTGGGCAATTTGCTGGCTTCGGACCGCAACCCTCCGACTGTGCTGCGCCAGGCCGGGCCCTCGCCGGAGGCCGAGCTGCGGGCCCTGGCGCGGGACAACACGCAGCTTCTCATCAACCAGCTGTGGCAGCTGCCGACCGAGCGCGTGGAAGAGGCGGTGGTAGCGTGCTTGCCGGAGCCCGCCACACGCCTGCCCCGCGAGAAGCCGCTGCCACGGCCACGGCCGCTCACCCGCTGGCAGCAGTTCGCACGCCTTAAGGGCATCCGTCCCAAAAAGAAGACCAACCTCGTGTGGGACGAGATAACTGGCCAGTGGCGGCGCCGTTGGGGTTACAAGCGCGCACGGGATGACACTAAGGAATGGCTGATCGAGGTGCCCGGGAGCGCCGACCCCATGGAAGACCAGTTCGCCAAGAGGATTCAAGCCAAGAAGGAACGCGTGGCCAAGAACGAGCTGAACCGACTCCGGAACCTGGCCCGCGCGCACAAGATGCAGATGCCCAGCTCAGCCGGCCTGCACCCTACGGGACACCAAAGTAAAGAGGAGCTGGGCCGCGCCATGCAAGTGGCCAAGGTCTCCACCGCTTCGGTGGGACGCTTCCAGGAGCGCCTCCCCAAGGAGAAAGCGCCCCGGGGCTCCGGCAAGAAAAGGAAGTTTCAGCCCCTCTTTGGGGACTTCGCAGCCGAGAAAAAAAACCAGTTGGAGCTACTTCGAATCATGAACAGCAAGAAACCTCAGCTGGACGTGACGAGGGCCACCAACAAGCAGATGAGGGAAGAGGACCAAGAGGAGGCTGCCAAGAGGAAGAAAATGAGCCAGAAAGGCAAGAGAAAAGGGGGTCGGCCAGGACCTTCGGGCAAGAGAAAGGGCGGCCTGCCGGGTCAGGGAGAGAAAAGGAAAGGAGGCTTGGGAGGCAAGAAGCATTCCAGGCTGCCGGCGTTAGGGGGCAAGAAGAAGGGAGTGTCGCAGCAGGGTGGGAAGAGGAGGAAGTAGTGGTCTCCCTTCTGGACCTGTTCTGAAAAGCTAGGACTGTACTAAAGTTTAATTTGTACGTGCTGTAGGCTGACTCAGGAGGTGGCTGCTTTCCTCTATGAGCACGACATTGAAGGGACAGGTTTGCCTCCCCGCGAGTTAGTGCTGGACTACGAATTAATGGAGACACTGACTGGAAGTTGGTGTATTTTGGAACAAGAGAATTACAGAAATGATATAGTCAGAACCAGGAGTAAGTTAAGGCCTGCCTTTTTGTCTTGACTTTGGATACTGGGTAAGGGTTGATCAGATTTAACTTTTACTGTCGGTAGAGGTTGTATGTGAAGCCAGTGACCTGGGTACCAATACGGAGTGTACTTAAAAAAAACAAAGTAGTTATAATGGTTATAAAGAAGACACCTTGTATTAGGAAAACTTTGCCACTAACTATAATATTAAAAGTATAGTGCTTTTTGATTCAGGTGGTGCATTTGGCCAGTGAATTGCTTTAAGTGATAAATTGGAACCACACTAAGTAATGGTAATTAACCTTGTTACTCCAAGGTTACTCCACATGGTTGTCATTTTGTTTGTAGCCGGTGGCTTTTAATTGGCTTGGGTTTAGCAAGTGCTGGGCTGGAATTCACTACAGAGCCAAGGCTGAGATTATAGAGGAGCAGCCACACCCAGCAGGAGACTTCGAGTTTATTTCTGCCCTGGATGTTTTTTCCCTGTTTCATTGTCTTATTTTGGTCTTAATAAACTTATCTTTGCATAATTAATATTTGCATTGTTTTTGTAAGTTATTAATCGCAATTCTAGAATTGAAGGAGGGTGTTTTCTGTAAAATAAGTTGGTCTGTCAGTTGCTAACAGTTGGGAATTGGACTGGAGTTTTCATTTTTAAACGGTTACTTTCTGAAAGTGCAAGGATAGCTCATCTTGTTTCATAACAACTAGTGGAAACTGGATTGATAGTGGCTTTGGGTAAAGTTCTATTTAGGGTCATAGGTAACCTCCAGCCCAGTTCCCAACTGCTAGCAACAGGACTCAACTTTCAGAGATTTGTTTTGGGAGTTTTGGTTGGTAGGTTTGGGGCTTTTTCTTTTCTTTTTTTCTTTCTTCTTTTCTCTTTCTTTCTTTTTTTCTTTCTTTCTTTCTTTCTTTTTTTTTTTTTTTTTTAAGTTTACTCAAGACCCTGTGGGGGTTTTGCCAGCCATTGAGAATTTCAGAGTTGCCTGAAAAATGAGCTAAGGCTGGGTCAGGTGACATTACAGAGTGTTTTCTTCCTGGAGTCGAGCCGCGACCGGATTGGCTGGCGGTGGGGGTGGAGTAGCCGAAGAACAAGGAGACCTGCCATGGCCGCAGCTGCACGGGCTCGAGTCACACACTTGCTGAGGCACCTGCAAAGCACAGCGTGAGTACAGGCTGCCCAAGGGCGCCTCGGCACTGGGCAACCCCTGCGTGCACCCAGTTGGGCAGGCAATCGTAATCGTGATACAGAGTTCAGAAAAGCAGACACCACAGTATGCACTGACCTATGCAGGTCCTGATACCATAGTAGGACGGGATGGTGCAGTGTGGCCCAGCTACCATTAAGGAGACATTCTCAGAGAACCTAGCCTGCTCCCACATGAGACAAGTAGTGTAGACTTTGGTGTCCTTGCTACGACATATCGAAGTAACTCGTGTATGGGTCTGTGTGCAGAAACTGCTCTTCTGAGAATTCAACAGCGAAAGGCTGAAGAACAAGGGCTGCTGATCCAATAAGGGGATAGGCACCTGTCGCAGGTCTCAGCAGATGGGTTGTAAACGGAAAAGACCACAAGGAGTTACCCTCCCTGACCTGGTTCCTTCCAGAAAGGCTGAGTGCATGAGTAGGTGAATGTGAAGTGCCTGAGTCAGCCAGGGAAATGGAAGCTGCAGTGAGCTCGGGAAAGGAGAGGGACTGGGAGGAGGAGCTGTAGTTCCAGGACCCAGCACAGAGTCTGGGCCTGCCTTCTAGGAGACAGTAAGGACTGAGAAGTGAATGGAACACAGTTGATGGACTCCAGGTCGTACACACTGCACGTGAACTGTTGGGGAGAACCAAAGGGTGAGCAAAGTGATTCAGACACGAATCACTTACAGGACAGGAAGGAGAGTGAAGCGGGAGCTGAGGAATCAACCCAGGTGGACATCCTCGGAAGGCAAGGGAGGGCCAGGCAGGAACCTTAGCTAATGGCTAGAAATGAGTTAGCCTTAGAATTTACAGTAACATGAATGGGTGGGAAGAGGCAGCCGTATTTCCGGCATTGATTTCAGATGTCTTTCTTCCCTTTGCTTCTCTTGTCCTTAGAAGTTTAATGCAGGGCATTAAGAAAGAAAAATCTAACTGTAAGCTGGGCCTGGGCCTTGCCTGCTCTCCTGGTGGAAGTAGGCGGCCACTAGGTGGCAACCTTGCTTTATGTTTTTTTCTTGATCTCGGGCAGTTCTAAGAGCCTGAGAGCCACTGGTTACCACCTTTTCCTCCCTTTACCTTTTCCCTCCCTGGGGGTTTTAATTCCAGTTTTGAATTTTGGCGCGGTAGGGTGGAGGCTTTGCAGTCAAGTTTTTGCCAATATCCCGCTATGGCAAGGTTCTCTGAACCATAAAGAGAAACAAATGAAAAGGAGAAACTGAAGCCAGAGGTAGGGATTTCCAAAAAATAGCCGATGTGGCAGGGAAAGGAGAGAAGTTTCCAGGAAAAAAAAAAAAGTGGGAAGGTCATAGGTGACAGGATTCAGGAAGGAGATTGTGGGAAGTGTCCCTGATGTAGAGACAGGACCAGCTCAGGTCCTGAGCTGCGGTCAGTAGAGGAGGGAGTGGTAGAGGACAGGAGTAGCTGATCCGGAAGGCCAGTGGTCTAAGAGCTTCTAGAAGCTCAAGCGTAGAAGCACTCTGAAGATAAACCGTGAAGACATGGGAGGATTGTGTAGACTATTCTCAGGGGTTCAAGCTGAGTAGAAGAGCTACTGATTGAGTCAAAGCTCTTGACCTGTGAGGGCTGGAGCCCATCAGTGTGTACCCTCAGGGAGCTCCTCATAGCTGCCTGCAGGCCTTGGCTCAGTAGACTTGAATAGAGGAGCATCTGGGTGCTGAAAAGGCAGTGGTGGGCTGGATTTTGTCTTTGGCATTATCCTGGGTTTGAGTTGTGTTGCTTTCTCTAATACACTCTGAGCTGCCACCCAGTTTAGTCTCAAGGCTTCTCACTTTCGGTTTCTTGTTTCTGTTGATATTTTCCTTTTTCTTTCCCCTAGATGCCAGTGCCCAACTCATTCTCATACTTACTCCCAAGGTAACACATTTTGAATTTTTATATCAGCTTCAGTTTTGCTTTGTACCCCTGGCATTTGGGTAAAGTGTGGAAAGGGGAAATCAAGGCATGCTTGAGGCGAGCTGATGGAGATAGCTGCCTCTCCCTGGGACGCTGGTACGGTATGACTCCATCTGTGACATGTCAGCTGAGTGCACAATGTTTAATGCTATCATATCCTTTCAATTTTCCTTTTCTATACCTTTTATTTTATGTACATTACTGTTCTGCCTGTATATGTGTCTATGAGTGTGTCAGATCCCTACAACTGGAAATACAGGCTGTTGTGAGCTGCCATGTAGATGCTGGGAATTAAATCCAGGTCCTCTGGAGGAATAGCAAGTGCTGTAAACCGCTGAGCCATCTTTTCAGCCCCAAAATATTTTCCAAAACTGAAAACACACATGATATTTTAAGGAATGTTTAGGTTGTTCAGGAACAAGTCTATTTGGGGCATAAAAAACTCTAAAAGCTAAAGTAAGGTGATCGCTAGAAGAAAAAAAAAAATCTTGTCCATATCCATTTTTAAAATATTCTTTTTTTATAATTAAAAATAATAACAAAAGTCTTCAGCCCCCACCATCTTGATCCTTGCCAGACCCCGTGGTCCATAAAGTTCAAAGTAGCTTCAGCATGTTCTAAGATGTCACATGATTGACAAAAAACTGATTTTATTCTTGGAAAGAGGTAAGCTATAAACAGAGAAGCAGGAAAGGAAAGGTCAGCCAACGAGTGCTCCTGAGCAGTGGCCTGAGGAGGAGGAGTCAAGAGGTCAGAGGAAGCAGTTCACCCTGAGGGCTGATGGGGTCTCTAGCCACCAGCAGTGAAGTGGAGCCAGCCAATTTTGTTTTCACCCATTTTGCCCTAATTTTTTTTTTTTTTTGGCTTTTTTCAACCTGGGTAATGGCATTGAGAACATAACTCCAGCTTCCTGTTTGACTTAGTAGCAGAAGCAGTAGCAAGAGGAGCAAGAGTGTCTACAGAGCCTTAGAGGAATCAGAGAGATGTGGACTTTGATAAGATGCTTTTACCTTCAGATGACATGCTGTTGTTGTTGTTGTTATTATTATTATATTGTTGTTGTCTAGTTCTGGTCTCTTTTTCTTTAATAGCAAAAAAAAATTGGTGGTGCAAATTATTCTGTTGGCTTTCCTTTATCTTGTGATTGACCAGAACTGGTTATAGAGAAGTAGATTAAAAAGAAAGATAGGCCGGGCAGTGGTGGTGCACGCCTTTAATCCCAGCACTTGGGAGGCAGAGGCAGGTGGATTCCTGAGTTCAAGGCCAGCCTGGTCTACAGAGTGAGTTCCAGGACAGCCAGGGCTATACAGAGAAACTCTGTCTCAAAAAAACAAAAAGAGAAAAAAAAAAAAAAGAAAGAAAGAAAGATAGGTAGGGAGACGTGCTGGAGAAATAGCTTAATGGTTAAGAGCACTAACTGTTCTTTCACAACTCTCTGTGATCTTACACCCTCACAGACATACATGCAGGCTGCACACATTGGTACATAAAATAAAAACAAATTTTTTTTTAAAGAAAGATACGGGCCCAAGGAGATGGTTCACCAGGTAAGGGCACTTAACTGTGCAAGCCTGGTGACCTGAGTTGGATCCCAGAATTCGCATGAAGGTGGACCGACTCCATAAAGTTGTCCTCTGACCTCCATATGCATGCTGTGGTTCACACAGTCACCAGGCACACACAACAATAAGAACTGTTTTAAATATGAAATTCACTGATGACCCCCCTATTGCTCCGATATAGCAACAGAAAGAAAAATGTCAGGTTTTAGTACTTTTTGTAAATATTGACCTATGTGTGGTATACAACTGTAAAATGGCAAAAATGTATACTTTTGGGTAAGATTTCAAGAAAGATGTTTATGTTCATTGTTGGGTTTTATTTTCAAAAACAATATTTATGTTTATTTTGTAACACATGATCTGATGATACTCTCTGTGCTTCTAGCCCCTGGACTCTTACCTTCAGGAAAAACAACAGATTACGCCTTTGAGGTAGATCTCATTGATTCATTCTTTCTTTTAGGAATGACATGGAAAACCCCACATATTTGCTGAAGCATTAGTGTTCCATTTGAAATCTGTTGTTAGCTAGTGATCCCCGTCTCATTTTGATCAGGCTCTGTGCAGCAGTGTACATTGTGAAGATAGGGGAAGATAGTCAGAAAACAATAATGTTTAAAACAGTATCTTTCATATAGCTATTAAAATAGGACAAACTCCCAGCTCTACATATTCCCAGTTATATGTGCCATATATCAAGTATCTGAAAATATCTAACAAAAGAAGTCATGTTCTGAAGCCGGAGTAAATGACCAACGAATCCCAGTGCAATTTGTCATACTAATTACATAATCACTTGTAATTATTTGTTTAGCTCATTGCCCCTCCTCATTTAGGAATCATAAATTAGGTCACTAGGAGCCTTC